ATGATTTTCTCCTAAAATACGTTGTCGTATTTGTAAAGATTCTTCAAAATGTTCTAAACTTTCATCAAAATTCTTGCATCGAAGAGATGCCCATCCAAGACCTAATTGAGCATCACCAACAGCAAGTTGAGTTTCTTCTAACATTCGTTTATAACATTTTCGTGCTTGTTCATTTTCATCCATTCGAAGTAAAAGTTTACCGAGAGAATCCAAATTCGTATCATCACCAATCTTTCCTTTCATATGAGTAAATATTTCTTTTAAATGATAATCATCTTCACTTGCTAAAGATACATGAGCTATCCATAATTTTTCTTTTTCATTTTCAAATATATTTTCAATACGAAATAATGCACCAAGCATAATTAATATTTCATTTTCATGTTTATAATGACTTATTTTATCGATAGCAGCAAAAGTTTTTGTACGTAATCGAGGATTAATATCAATTTCAAAAAGAATTGCTCGCATATTATCTCGTCTACGAGAAACTCGTGTAAATTCAAGTGCAGTTGTTCGATTACGACTTGTTGATAAAAATGAATTCATAGATAAAAATTCATTAATATTATTTTTCATTAATTCAAGTTCATCAATACTTATTATTTGTCCACGATAAACTCGAATTATATTTCGATTAACATTTGTACGAATAAAATTTTCATATTCATATTTTATTTGCTTTGCAATATCTGTAATAAAAAATCGAAAAGCAAATAATGTATTATAATTTTGAATACGTAATGCTTTATTCATCATTCGATAAAAACATGAATCATGTGTATACCACCAAATTGCTTTTTCACCATCATATGTCTGTTCGAATTCATGAATAATTTTCATTTGTTTATGATTAGCACCATAGGATTTTTTACATACATCAATAAGTTCTTTACGATCACTCGATTTATGATGCATACGAAGAAGAACTTCAATAAATAATTGAAAACCACATAAAACTAGCATTACGAGCTTGAAGATTTTGAGATTTAGAACTGATGACAGAAACTGAAATACCATCTTCAGTTTTTGTTCTATTAATATGATCTTCAGTGATTTGAGTAATAAGATGATGACGTTGTACAAAAACACCATTGATCTATTTAGGATAAAATAAAATAAAATTTATTTTAAATTGAATATAAGATTTTATCCTAAATAGATATTTCTTTGCCCATTCTTCATTGGCTTTTTTATCTTTACAAAAAACATAGCATGCAGAAAATTGTGGAAGATCATGAAGTCGAGGTACAATTTCTCGACCTAATCCACCTGATACAATAAGAACAATCTTTTCTTGAGTAATCTTTCGAATATATTGTTCACATGCATCACTATTATCAAATGTTCGAACATCATTTATTATTTGACGAAGTTCTTCTCGTGTATCAATGTTATCTTCTGTCTTATTGACATATTTATCTAGCCACAAACATGTAAAAGATTCAACATTTGAAGCCATTGATTAAAAAATATCTGTTATCAAACTATAATAGTCAAATAGTTTAGTTTGTTTTTTTTTTCGCTAGTAGGCATATATATGTGAGTAACACTACTTGAGACAACGAAGTTTTGCTTTTATTCCTTTTCTTTTGTTTGCGAAATTTCATCATGTGAGCTATTTTCGTTGATCGTAAATCTTAATTTTAAGATTTTTTAACATGCGAAATACTTTTATTTTCTTCTCTGTTCTTTTCTTTTTTATTGTCAAAATTTTTTTTTTTATTTGCATTCATCATGTTGTCACTACATCAACTTTTTCGGAGAAAGGTAAATGAAATACAGCAGACAAGGTTGTTCGTATATTTCTCAACGACATCAAAACTTTTTTTTTCTTTCACTTCCATCTCTTCAGTATATTCTACAAAAAACAGAACTAAAATATATGTATCACAAGCATAAAACATATATTCTACCGCTTTCAGCACATTCTCAAAATTTATTAATTCTATTTTACGTGAATGAATCGTACGAAAATTTTATTAAAAGAAAAACAAGAAAATAATAATAAATCACATATTTTACTATTTATTAGAAGCAGAACATAAACGAAGTGTATCAATCGTTAAATAGACTGTAATTTCTTCTCATATTATTTTTACATCCAACTTGATCAAAGATTGATAATCAATAGTATTGATAGTTTCTCTTCATATGACTTCTCTACAATCAGTCAAGTTTTAATATCTAATATTAATGTATTTATAAATTTACAAACTTGCTTTATTTTTTCATGTATAACGTGAATATTATTTTATTGCTTATATATATATATATATAGATAAAAAAAAGAGAAAAATTACTTTTCAAATTGGGTTTTTAAATATAAATTACGCAAGTATAAATTAATAAGTTCATGAAGACAATAAATTCAAAAATAGTAAGAAAAAATTTTCAAAAAAAAACAGAAAAGCTATAGAACAAAAATATATACAGTGACTACCAAAATTATTAAACAATTTTCAAACAATGATATAAAGAAATAAATATGATATTTTAAAAATGAAGATCTTGATGAAATTATTTTCGAGTCTTCAATTAGAGAGATTTATCTCAGCGAAAAAAAAACCGATGTGGAATATTATCAGACATTTCATTTTGTAGAGAATCGTTTGTTCTATCATTTTATATAGTTTGAATGAAATTAAATAAATCTTGTTTTAACAAATTTTTGTAGTCATTTTATATACATGTTTAAATAAAAAAAAAGAATCTTATTGATATTGTACTATTATGATAATTGTTCTTGTTGTTGATTATCATTAATCAATGAACGTTTCATTTCTATTTCATTAATATCTTTTTCAATTGCTGCTGATATATCAAGTGTTGTTTTCGATGATTTTCTTCGTACTACTTCAGGACAATTCTCTTCATCATTTGCTATTTTTTTCATTTTCCATAAAAGATCATAAGCTATTTCATCAGTAACAACTGAATCATGTTTATATGCTGGATGATTTGCTACAAAATGTCGCATCCATGCTGCATTAGTCATCAATGTACCTTTAAACATTCAAAAATAAATTCAAATTTCTCATTTTTTTAATTTTTTTCATGATACATACCAGCAGCTCGTTTACTAATTAAATTCAAATATTGATTAATAGTATCTCGTGTATCAGCATCTATGTCAATATTTGATAAATAATCTTGAATAATATTTAAAAGACCAATAAATTTATTCTAAAATAACAATGAATATAGAATTTAAATATTAAACAAAAAAAAAAAACTTACTGATCCATTAATAATTTCATCGATTGTCATAAAACAATGTTCACATTCATTTTTATCATGTTCAAGTTCTTTAGAATTATTTTTCTGAATTGAAATAAAAGAAGGTGTATCAGGTGTTTGTTCTAAATTGAAAAATATAAAATAAATTTTTAAATTAAATCAATAAAATTGTAATACTTGTCGAAAGAAATTTACGAAAATGAAATTTTTCACGTCGAATTGCATCACGTTTTTGTGCAAATTGCATATTTTCTTCAACCTAAATATATCAATAAATATTATCATATTATAATTTACAAAAATGTATTTTTTCATCTTACATTAGATATTGGAATAAGTAAATTTAAATTATATGTTAGTATAGCACGTGTTAATAAAACAATAAATGTTACTAATGCAGCATTTTCAAAATCAGTCATTTGTAACTAGAGCAAAAGAAAAATAATGAATTTTAATAAGAAAAAAAAAAAAAAGAATATTTCTTACTTCTGAAGGTCGAAATTCTACTCGCCAACCAATATCACTATTAGCTGGTGGTGGTTTAAATCTCATTGATTGCCAATTTGTTGAATTGATATTCTGCAGATAAAATCAAAAAAGAACGATATATCTGTTAGTTTCCAAGCTAATATTACGTTCATTTTTGGATCAACTTAAGCAAAGATCGAATTGAATATTGAACTGATTTTATATTCGAATTAGTATGTAGATTGATGCAGGGGCGGCGCGAGCGGGAGGAGGGTACCCCTCTGCTTTGAGAATTCTGGCTCAGATTTTCTTCTAATTTAGAGAGATTATTAAAGAGTTTTCCCCGATTTTGGAAAAATATAATCGGACAAATTTTATAAATTTTAGGCTACTTTCTCCAGTTTTTGAGTAATCCCCCCCTGTTCTGATCTCTTCGCGTTGCCTCTAGATTGATGTTTTATTTAGATTTTTATTAATGAAATGAGAGAGAATAATGCTATTTCAATTAATACAATTATCAATTGATTAATTAAGTTTGTATTTATGAAGTCATAGACGATGTTATTCATTGAAATTCTTTTGCTTTCTTTCATTTTATTAATAAGAATCTGAATACAATTTTCATCTGTAGACTAATTTGAATTTAGAGGCTAACAGATATGAAGATAAACTAGTAAATTTTTGTTTTACTTCAAAAAGATCAGTATCTTTTGTATCATCAAGATGAAGCATTTCTTCAAATAAAATTAATGGATCACGAATAAATATGTGTGCTATATGTTGAGCTAATAAATGATCAATACCTATGAAAAGAAGAAACACAAAATTAATATGAAGACAAATATATGAAGATTTATGTACCATTTTCCGTAAGTTTATGAAAAATATCCATATCTTGAACAACTTCAATATCATTATATACTGCACTGTCAGGTGATATGTAACAATCAACACTTGAATAACGAGATTTAGGAATACGAAAATGTGCATTTTCTAATGGCTAAATATATATATATATAATAATGTTTTTTCTTTCTCTTCTGTTGAAATACAGAATAGAATTTATAGATAAATTTTTCTAATCCGAAAACTTTAGATATTGTTTTTTTTTATGGATCAATTCAAAATGAACTTTGACTTACTTCAAATCCTTGTTCTTCTGCTGTTCGATCATCGCACATTGCACATAATACATTCCATCGACAATCGATTTCAGCTAAATATCCACGCCAAATTGGTGATGCTGCACTCAGTGCTAACTGCAATGATATGAACAAAAACAAAATAGAAAAATAAGAATTTAGTTGAAGAAATAAACAACAATTAAGATCAATTAATTATTTTACCATAATTGGAGTCATTGGTATTAATTGATCATAAAGAAGTCGTGCTTCATCGATTGATTGTGCTTGAAAAGTAACTTGTAAACAAGAACAACCTGTACCCAAACCAATTGCATCAAGATGAATATGATCTTCAACAGGAACAGTTTTATTTACAACAGCATTATCACCATAAATTGAAAAATCTTCGATAAATGGTCGAGGAGTATTTGTATCCATGAAAACTATAATAATTTAATATATAATATATAAACATTTCGTCTTGTTCATACTTGGAATATTAAAAGCAATTTTATCATCACGTCGTAGACGTAAATTTCGTGTTAATATTCTTAAAATATAACAAATATTCATAATTATATTAATAAATATTTTTATTATTACTTAAATCGTGAATGATTAGGAAATATAAGTGTGTGGGTGTGGGGATGTGGGTGCATGTGGATGAGGTTGTGGGTGTAGTTCGTTTTCTCACCCACACCCACACTCACACTCACACCCACACCCCGCACCCATCCACACTCACACACGCGCACATCCTATGTAGTTATTTGCACAGAGAACTTTACACATGATGAGGATTCTGCTATCATTTTGGATGATATTTAATTCAAACCATGTGTGTTACGGGATTATTTGAGCAAAATCAACTATAGCTGGGCTGAGGAATTGCTTAGTATCATATCTTTCGTATGTGCGGCGCCATGTTTCATAGTGTATTTTCAAAATTGATTTCCTATGTATAATGATAGGCATGTTCAACTAACCTGTAAATGAATAATACGCTCTCCATTTTCGAATTAAATTATATGTCAGAATTTGACAAAATGATCTAATCAAGAACTTTCATCAATAAATCAATGCTCTGGTGTATTCTCATATGTTTCATTTTTCTGGTTTTAATAAAAAAAAATATTTAGAAAAATTAAGTGAATGTTTCTTCGGGCGAGCGAAGTTTTTCGATGAGACAGCCGAGTCTCTGACTATTATCATAGGCTTCCATTTCTTCAAGTTGTTCGTGAGCTAGATCAATGAGTCGGTCAATGGTGGGCGGCTGGATATCATCAAGTTGAATTGGATTTGCTAGCCAAACCTGCCATCGATAGTATTCATCGCCGATGATGTCGCCAAGTTGCATATCTATGTTGCTCTGAGGTACATCCGTCACGACTTTTAAGACAGTTTGACGATTTCGATACCAAAATAGAAGATCTCGATTAGCGGTTGGATGAAGCGGATCCGGTACATAATCACCAGTGCCCAATGATAATAATCGTATGCGACTTTTGTCAGTGGATGAGCGATTTATTCTGAGGGCATGGCTGTAAGCAATCATCGCCGGATTATTTGCCTGAACACCACCGTCAACATAGACTGTATTATTAAATGAATAGGCAGGAAAATAAGTTGGTGCAGCCGTTGTACACATGAGTATATCTCGAAGAAAGAAATCCTTCGATGTATCATTCACAGCGCTCTGTCGAGTGAACGTATCTGTGACATTACTCTCAGCTTTAACCGATGGCACGACCAATTCAGCAAGTGCGTTCGACAGTTTCACGGTGCTAAAATATTCTTCGAAGAGTCTTTGACGACCATCATCCAAATACTGAGGAGCTTGAAGAAAACTTGCTCTAATAGTGGCCCACATTGATGAACTTTTAGTAAACACTTGATCTACTTTTGTTCGATAGAGTTGGACTAAATCATGTGCTTGATAGCGAGGTTTACCTTTTTGCGTGAGAGAAGGTGTGCTGAGACCAGCAGCAATAATGGCACCAGTCGATGTGCCTGCAATTACATGAAATGTAGAAGAAATAGGTTGCCGAAGTTTTCGTTCAATCTCCATTAACCATACGGCTGGAATTATCCCACGAATACCACCGCCGTCAATCGATAGAATATTGCACCATGGTTGCTGATCATCGAGACTCGAAATACGTGTGTTAAACACCGTCGGTTGATCGATGGACTGTCTTTCATCTTTCAAATTAATTGCTTTTTGTTCGCGTTTGACATCAACATTAAGGGGTTCCAGTTCAACAGCTTTCTGAATCCATAACTTTGCAGAGTCATAATCGCCAAGTTTGCGAGTTGCTTGCGCATAAACCAGCCATATATCGGCCGAGTTTGATGTCTGTTCTCTTATATGATACACATTCGTTAAATGTTCGGTGAGACGCGTGTACCGATGTAGTTTGATCAAACATCTGCAATAATCAAGTATAGTCATTTGACGACATCGCTTAGTGATTGTTCCTAGACGGAACATGTCCAGAAGTTGTTTATAATAGTTGCATGCTTGTTGCCAATCGGACAATGCTATGTGAGAAATAGTGTATGTAAAAAGCAATTCTTTCAAATCTATTGATTTTCAAAGGATTTCGAAGTAGAAGATATTAAAAGGGTGAATTCTTTGTTTTATTCGTTCTGATTTTTCGCTCAGTTCACAATCAGTTGAACTGAAACGATATGCGTACGCACAGACGTGTTTATATTTACAATTTTTGTATGTTCGAAGTTATAAAATCACCGCAATGTGTTGATGAAATTCTTTAGATGTTCGTTTTAAAAGAAATATCAGTTGGAGTTTTCTTCGTAAACATAGTCTTTGAAACAAAATTTTGCTCACTTATCTCTCATTAAATAGGTGATTACATAGAGATGCAATGTATAATACATTTAGTTTGCTGTCGACTTATGATCATGAAGCGTTCTAGTCTAACAAGGACACGGAAATATACGTTTTTCTAATGGTTAAAACTTAAATATGAAGCTCTCGTAAAAAGCGTCTTTTGTTCTTCTTCAAATGCACAAAGATATGTTTTATGCATGAGATCTAATTTTTACGTTGTGATTCTCTTCTGGTCAATAGACCATAATATTGTACTTAGTTCGGTTTTTTGAAATCTGTTTCGGTCCTGTTTCTTATGGATTTCTGCCATATCTGCGGAGTGTTTTGAAACTACACCTGCAATCATTCTATTAGAAGACATAAGAGGATGATGTATTTGTAGAAATAAACATCCGAACATTTTCTTAAATGCTTCTAGAAGCCTCATGCTTAAAATTCTGGCTGAAGATTGGTCGACTGTATGAATCAGAAACGCTCGTAAACAAACTGTAATATGTGCATACTGTTCTCAATCCATGCCATACATGTGTCAGAATAAGTATATAAGAAAAATTTATAACCCGAACTTAATAGGTTTCGACGAAACCCAAATCTGTTCTAAGCATGGCACGAATCTACCAAACCAGAGTGTGTTTCGAAAAATGCTACAATATCTCAAACAGCCTCATATACTTCTACAAGACCTTAAAGGTGTATTAAACTCGATTCAAGTTCCAAAATCCTTTCCAGTGTAACCTGTATGATGTCGATCACATTAATGCCATTAAAAATCAATTGATGTCCAGTGACACTATGTGAATTTTCTAGTATATTAATCGCTTAAACTGAATTTGCGCTCGGAAGTTTAAGGAGATAGAAAATCTCTGTAACTGCTGGAACGTGAGCTATTAACTTCTTCTGCTTCTTTTGAATCATCATCTAACAGAAATCATGTTTCTTATTAACTTGCTTCTCGAAGAAAAAACTCTCAAAAGCATGAATCTTAGAGTATTCCGAACCTTTAACACTTCGTGTTGAATGTACATAAAAGAGAAGTGTTATTATTTACTTTCTGATTAGTTCGAATCAGCGATGAAAATGAATATCAGGGTAAAATAATTTCGAATTCTAAAATTTCACGATTGGGAAACTTTTTCAGAATTTTTGTCCGAAACTGGTCTGAGTCTGTTTATCGCGATCAGAGTTAATAATCTGCGATAGAAAATTAAGGATAAAAATAATTTGAAAACGGCTAGTACTTATGCATAGAGGTGATAAGTTCTTGTTATTTAATGTTATTTATAACAATCATAATAACATATAACTATTGTTTTCTGAAAAGCTTGAATTTCAACTTGAAGCAAAGTCTAAGAGCACCCCCATGAAGAGTGTTCATTCTTTTAAAATCGTTGCCTACCTCCGTGGGTTCGAGTCTCACTAGATTGGTCTTGGATATAGAGTCCTGCACAAAAGTGCCTAGCCCACAACATTGGTATCATTTGTTATTATTTTTGGTTGATCTTTTGTGGATTTGTGGATCTCAGAGAACCCTGGTCGCAAGAACCACGTCACCTTTGACTGTTTGATATGTATCGGAATTATCAGTTCAACACTAGCAGCACTTTGTTAAATCTGTAACTTGATCATTATTCGACATATATTTTAGCGCAATTTTTCACTCGAAAGCACAGTGGTGCAGCTATCTCGAGTAAAAATTCGGTAAGAAATCCTCTGTAAATGGCGGAGATTTGATGGTCATATTGACAGGTTTAGTCAATTGGTGAATCCAAGTCTTTAGGCTAGTGTCGACAAGTCGAGCTAGCCTCAACGAATTCAGTTGGAGATTTTAGCAATAAGTTCATATCAGTCTCCAAGTTTATGGTAGTTTTCAGAGTCATAGTTCAATGTAGAGTGAAGATAGCGACGGCAGAAAACTTCACTACAATACAGCTTACCAGTCGATGGAATTTCGGTAGTACGTGACGAGCTTTTGACCCCAAAGACTAGGTATATTGGGCTGCATCTAGCGTTAAAAAAGGCAAAATTGTATCCTAGGAGCATGAAACGAGAAAATGAAAGTTTTCGGAGATTGCATTTGCGTCCGATTTCTTCGAAGAACGATGCAAAGAGTATCAATGTACAAGATACTTCTTTATTACGAAGAACTGGGCTCCAAAATAATTTTACTGACCTCAACAAGTGTCTGCTTCATTTAATTAATCGTGTCTACAAGTCATCTGAACTATTTTTATCCGAAAAGAGCATTTTCTCAAAAGCGAAGTGTAATTTGATTAGTGTACCACAATTTGATATACATTGATATGACTTGAACAAAGTGTTGCTAGTGTTGAACTGATAATTCTGATACATATCAAACAGTCAAAGTTGACGTGGTTCTTGCGATCAGGCTTCTCTGAAATCCACAAAATGTCAGCCAAAAATGATAACAAATGATACCAATGCTGTGGGCTAGGCGCTTTTGCGCAGAACTCTATATCCAAGACCAATCTAGTGAGACTCGAACCCACGGAGGTAGGCAACGATTTTAAAAGAATGAGCACTCTTCATTGGTGCTCTTAGACTTTACTTCAAGTTGAAATTCGAGCTTTTCAGAAAGCAAAAGTTATTTGTTATTTTTCTTTTATTTATAACAAATAACTTTTATTATTATTATTATAATAAGTATAACAATAACTTCACATCCTTACTTGTACAAACTAGGGTTTAAATAGTTTTTTTTTGTCGAAAAGCCATATGAAATAAGTGTAACATCAATGAAAACGAATTTTTGAGTAGCTGATACGTTGTGCAATAGAAATGATTCAAACGACATAGTTGTCGTACTATGTTGTGCTACAGCCTACTACTCAATATGATTTAGCTTAGCTCCGAAACGGCTCTAATTTACAGATGAGTCCTTAATAAGACAATGAATGATGTTGTTGAGTGATCAGTCGACTTAAATTACATACCTGCTAAATGATTGCGTTTGTCCAGACGTTGAGCTTCGCGCTTATAGTGGGTGGCTATAGATAGAAGTAATTCAGCCCGACGTGGATCTTCTGAAGGCAAGTTGTTAAGTCTAGAATGCAACTGATTAATTTCCTCAGGAACTGTGGTAAACACCGCACTAATATGGTCTTCATTTGTACGAACAACCACGTATAAATATCTTGGATTGTCCTCGCCTCGCGTATAGTCAACAGCCGTTTGAGATGGTATTGCTACAAAAACTGGGCCATATCGCACATCAATATCGATATCACACGGTTGTATATGCATGTTGCCAAATTCAGAAAGTAAAGGCAAATAGGCACTATGGTTGAATATCTTTCTATTCTTCCGAAAATCTTCTGCCCATTTGGATAATGTTGAAACACGTTCCATGCGGAGAAGTGCATTGATGCGTTCATCATTCATAGGATTCTTAGTTAACACAAACTGGATGAATGGTTCACTCTCAAAATGATGCTCGCTCGGTAATAGACAATCGAGGAGTGTCAACTGGTCATTTTCTTCCACTACAGATAATACGAGTTTGCAGAGATGATAAGTATTGTAACCCGTTTTCATACACTCTATTTGTTCCAGATTAGTGTCCATGGTCGGAGGCAGAGGACGCATAGGTCTGATTTCGCTGTCGTCATCATCCATTCCCAGTGCGCTCAGTAGATCTTCGAGTGCATATATTCGTTCTTCAGGAATCACAAAGAATTTATCATGAGTTCGGGTCGCCATTTGTTTCAAATTCTTTAACGCTTGCTTACATCGTTCGAAGTTTTCTTGTCCTGCAAAAGGAGAAGAATTCTGGATATTTCAAAGTTGCGGATTCTACTCAAATATCTGTAAATCTAGTTTAGTTTAGATTTCAGTTTATCGATATATGAAATCTTCGCATGTTGTGCAAACTTCGATACCCTGTACAACGATTCTAAATTGACACTTTCTGTATCACTTATAGTTCCTTGATTGGTTTCTAGTTCTCCCAAAATATTTTTTCAGAGGTCCTACAGAATTTCATTTCGTGACATAAGTGGCAACTCGTCATATAATTTTATGAAAGCGGTCTTTTAAACTGGTTGATCGCAATGATTAAAAAATAGCTTCTTATTACAAAACTGCCAATGAATAGTTTTACCTGCAGCCAACAGACAGGCAATGGCATAGTTAAGACGAGCCAATCGGCAGTATCCATCAAGTCGACTTATAAATGGAGAACTCTGAGAGTCTGTAATGTCTCTAGCGGAAATTCCATGCAATAACTTTGGTGCGCATTTACTTAGGATAGCATGATGATAACGTTCGACGCGTTTATCAAGTTCACGAGCAGCGTCACGAAGTGCTTCAGTATCATATACACCTTGAAAAAGAATTTTGCTTTGTTCCAACAAAGCTGTGTACTCAGGATTTTTCAATATAGGATCAGCAAAGTCAAGTCCACGTAAAAACACCTCTCCAATAATAACTAAGAGATGTGCAATTTTATCTGCTCGAAAATCGTGTTTGAGCAAGGGTTCAATGAATTGATCTACACGAATTTCAACGCTAATCGTCTCACTACCTCTTGTTACAACCATCAAACGACGTGAATGATAGTAAGGTTTCGCGAGACACTCTATAAACTGGGCATATTGTCCATTATTATAGTGATCAACCACCGATTTCATCATTTCGTTAAGAGTTTCTCGAATAACATACTCGGGAGTTAAATCTTTAAATGATGGCTTTTGTCTTCGTCTAACTAAGTTCAGCTTGTGCAATAGTTTGGTAACATAATATGTGGTGAAAGATCCAGCAACAGTAACAGCACTCCCTGTGAGAATAGGCAGAATCATGCGTGACCGACTGTTTAATGTTCTAAATGTTTCTTCCTCTAATGTTCGTTGACTGATATCAATACTTAGATCGGCAGGTTGGCCACTTCGAACAATACATTGACGGAGAATAATCTCTCGCACGAATACTTGAGTTTCTTCATGGATTTGTTGCGTTGTTGCTGTTGTGTCGGTGCATAAAATGAGTTCTCGACTTGTGGCATTCGTTGATCGTGAATCTCGTGCAGTGGGGCTCGTGCTTGTAGAGGTTTGTTGGTATCTTTTGAGAGTGCTTTGCAATTCACCCAACTTTTGCTGCAATCGAGGAGTTATGGTTGTAAGCGTAATTATATAAATGCCGGCAACAATGTAGAGTTGAGCTTCGATCTGATAAGTGCCTGCTTGACGCATCATCAAACCCATATATGTAAGAATTTCCACACGTTGGAGAATATCCGTCTCTGAATTCTGTTTTTTCATTCTTCCAAGGGACTTCAGAGCGGCCCGATAGTGTTCGAATGCCCAAAGGGCTTCGTTAGCGACGAGACGTCGTAAATGAGCAGTGGTGAAGTCCGGATCATTGCCACGTTCGGCACGCTTCTTGTATGCACGCGAAAACTCATAGTGTTTATGCCCTATATCTAGTTCAGCTTGCACTCTTTCGACACTGGCTAGATGAGTGTTGATTTTTGATATATACCGATCACGAATAATATTGATATTTTTCATCAACTCACTAAAGATAGGATTGGAACGATGTTTGTCGGAGTGGAAAATTCGAGCCCACTCGCGATAGCGACGTGTAATACATTGTTCTGTTGGTGGAACATCATGAAACAGCAATTTCTCCAGTTGGGAAATGTCGGAGAGTAGGATATCAACAAAAGACGCTTGCCGATTCTCAAGATTGTTGGTAACGAAATCGATCGACTCGATAATAAAATTTAGATAATTCAAATTCGATTCATCATTATCGATCGCTTCATGCACTTCGCCTATTTTTAAAGCATCGAATGCACTTAATATCGATGTACAATTTTGTTGTAACGTTTGAAGCTCGTCCATTGTTCTTATTTCACATTGAAAAAGCGGCTCGAGCGACTTGCGGATCAGTGCAAGTGCATTGATAATCTGATCTACATCGACTAAATCGCTCAATGTGGCAATTTGTTTGTGGATGTCGTCCCATGAGGAAACGACGATATAATCACTATTTTCCTCATTATTGTTGCATACTTCCTGCAGTGTACGAGAAAGAACAGCAACTTCAGATAAAGAAAAACGCTCGCATAATGCTGCGTATTTAGACAACATTTCTTCTTCTTTGATCACTTTGTCATTATTGTTAATTCTTCGAAAATAGGAAACACGAAGTGTATGGTAGCGATGTCGATAGCTATAATAAAGAGGTTTGTCTGATTCTTCTAGATCAGCTATTTGTCCAAAAAGAATAAGAAATTGTTGCTCGATTGTCTTGTAGTTGACGGATTCATCACTAAGTGTAGCGATGATTTCGTCGAATGCATTTAAAATATCACTGTTTACTTCGTTGATATCAGACATCTGAAATAGATAGGAAAATAATCTTATTTTTATTCTCAGTATGCATGAGTTTAGTGTGAAATTTATAACCGTAGATCAACAGCGTGATGAGATGCTAAGACAATGGAGGAAGAAAACAATCGTACACAGAGCTAGAACAAAACACCTCCCATTGTCTGCGTAACACATGATCATTCTATTAAAAAACACAATGCCTCCGTCTAATGACTGTAGAGATCACTACAGATGTAATACTGTAGAATTCTACTTCTTTTTTTTAGAGCAATCCATATTCTATTTACTAAATATGTCACGTTTAAGTTTAGCAATCAACTTAACCTTGCGAGCCCTATCATTTACATAATATATCGTTGCTATATGAATTTATTGTACCGAAACTTCCCTAGCTATCAAAAATGATCAAATACAATGTGTCGAGATCGTCATTAACGATATACGTGAAAAAATTGTTTACGATTATTATACTTTTTGACTCATAGAGTTCATGACAAGTCTCAGCGACATTATCACTACGATCTCATTCCTATTCTGAAAAAACGGAGGTTTGCAGAACCTAAAAAGGCTCTGCAAATCTCCTTTTTTTTTCAGAATAGTAACTATATTTAACGCAGTGATGAATTCTCCTTTCAAGATTGAGAATAACTTCAATACCCTTCATATCTCTTATATTAGGAATTAGATGGATTTCCAGTATACACATAGAATATATCATGTCAGTTATCTACCTATTTATCCATCAATCTACCTATCTACCTATCTAACAAGTGCAGAGTTATTCGGATTGATTTCAATGATAATATCGCTAAGACATATCATGTACTAGTTTTGCGTTGGCTTTGTTTAATATAGATTGAAACAAAAGAGCTTCACAATTTGCCATTAAAATGGAAAAAGGTTTAAAATTATATATAAATATAAAAGAAACCTTAATGGAATGCAATATAAAGGATACGTAATTGTGACTAAGTTAAGTACACAAATAATCAGCTGTGCTGACACATATGTATTGAGGAAAAAATAGTGTAGTCAACGTCAGGGTGCAAGAGATTATTATTGTGATATATGAACCATTTCTTGTAAGCCACGACCAGCGCCTAGAGAACGTACTCAATTGAGATCCTTCGATATTGCTCAGTTTAAGGTAAGTGGTAGAGGAAAGTGTTTTATGAATTTTGACGCAAGCCATTTGCAAAAGTATTGAAGTGTCGGTTTTTAAAGAATTTTTCACTGCAAGCTCTAAAAATCCAGACTCCCAAAATCGGAGATATTGCAAGCTCAATATCTAAAGAATGTTTCGGCTGATCGCGCTGAAGTTTTTCGTGCATGCATTAATTAGTAAGTTTTACTTATGCAAAAATTTCAGCTCAAAGGATTGAGCCCTTAGCATTCTATAGATTTTCCTTATAAAAGAAAAAATTCCTATTTTTGGTAACTTTGAAGCTTATTATCTCGTGACACGTAGTGTCAAATCTGAAAGCTGAATTTAATTATTGAAGACGTCAGATATTCAATTATTGAATATCTGAAGTGCAGATATTCAGATATAACTTAGGGCTGACCAAAAGTTCTGATAAAATTCAACAAAAATTTAAAGAAAAAGAGTTATTTTTAATTTTTTTATATTAAATAATCGGGATAGTTCAACGCGAATGAATGCGTATGGAACGGTTCCAGTCAAAAAGCCGGGGAAAATAATCGGGTCATGAATGTCAACATACAATGTCGGAATTCGATGACCGGCTTCTTTTCACTTTGCAGTAGAGCTAGTCAGAGTCGAGCGTAGTCGACCGCTGAATCCGAACATTCTATGTTGACATTCATGACCCGATTATTTTCCCCGGCTTTTTGACTGAAACCGTTCCATACGCATTCATTCGGGTTGCACCATGGAATTTTTTTTTCAATGATTATGTGAAGCATAATTCGACTGATTAAACGAATTAATAAAATATGATTAGCTCTTCTGATTTTCAAGAGAGTTACAAAATAGTCTAGAAAAAGAACTCAAAAAAGCTGTTGACAATTTATTAGAGAGGATCGAACTTTGTATAAGCAATCATGGCAGCTATCCCGATTATTTAATTTAAAAAAATAAAAATAACTCTTGGTTTTTATATTTTTATTCAATGTTATCAGAACTTTTGGTCAGCCCTAAGTTATATCTGAATATCTGCACTTCAGATATTCAATAATTGAATATCTGACGTCTTCAATAATTAAATTCAACTTTCAGATTTGACACTACTGATCACTAGATATAAAGCTTCAAAGTTACCAAAAATAGGAATTTTTTCTTTTATAAGGGAAATCTATAGGATACCAAGGGCTCAACCGTTTGAGCTAAAATTTTTGGGTAGGTAGAACTTCCTAATTTATGTATTCACAAAAGATTTCAGCTCGATTGGCCGAAACGTTCGTGAGATATTGAGCATGCAATATCTCCAATTTTGGGTGTCTGGATTTTTAGAGCTTTCAGTAAAAAATTCATTAAAAACCTACACTTCAATACTTTTGAAAACGGCTTGCGCCAAAATTCATAAAACACTTTCCTCTACCACATACCTTAAATTGAGCAAAATCGAAGGATCTCGATTGAGCACGTTCCATGTAAACATGAAACGCGTCTCCAGGGAGACACTTCTTGCATCTACACGCGACCTCAGTTCGAAGTGCGGCTAGTCGCGATTTGATGGATCTTTGCGTCTAGCAGCACCTTTGTTGAGCACCGCGTCTCAACGCGATTTTATATGAAAACGCGTCTGCAGTGAAAAATTTCTTGTGTCTAGATGCGATTTTAGTTGGTACCGCGTCTGGATGCAAAAGACGTTTCACATGAACCGCGCGTAGGCTCGTTCAATAGCTTCGATTAAGATATAAACGAAACTCAATTCAAAAACCTGTTAATACGAAAAATACTTAAACGATTGTTTTTGTATTCACCGGGAAACATCTGTCAACGTTTTCTATAATATTAATATAATTTGGAAAATATCAAATTCTCAGCAGTCTAAAAATTTTTTTTCATGAGAGAGAGAATAAACGCATTTTTTAAATAAAATCGAACAGACCTACAAATCCTGAAAAATCGGTGCTATAAAATTGAAAAAGATGAAATTTAAAAAAGTAAAATGGAATTTTTTTTCAAAAGGAATATAGCTGCATAATTAGAAATTTTTATTATTTTTATTTAATGTAAAATGTTTTTGGATAAGTACATGTATTTATATATACAAGAATAATTAAAATATCCCAGGTCTATATTAACGGTGCGTAATCGACGGTAAACCGATAAA